AACCTCATTAAATACAAAAGCTAAAGTGTTGCATTTATATTGTTGTTCGGTGTATGCTGTTGAAGGTTCTCAGTCATCCAGGTCATGGTAATCCAAAAGGGTTCAAATGAAGGCAACTGGACTTATTTGGTTTCTTGAAGACGTTTTGCTTCTCATCTGAGGATCTTTGTCAATTCCAAATGGAATATGGGTCAAGTTTATAAGCTGTAGCTGTCTGTTGTTGTTTAACAAGCAGAAACTACGCTGGGTACCCTGCCTCTCCATCCCCTGATGAGTCATTAGCCTCTATTGAGAGGGAGACGTTGTGTTGATCAGATGCAGGAAAGTGTGACCTGGACTGAAACTGCTTAGGAATGAGATTCAAAGTTGCGTTCTAGGTACTGGAAAGGAGAAATCTAAGCCCCCCCACCCCAATTCAAAGTGGGGTTTTCACATTTGATATAGACAGCTTCTTTTACTCCTCTATCAAACCATATATCTTTCGGCAGAATGTGTACTTTGTCATTTTCAAAGGTACATCAAAGGTGTATCAAAGCTCCTCAGATGAGAAGCAAAACGTCTTCAAGAAACCAAAGAAGTCCAGTAGCCTTCATTTGAACCCTTCAGTGTTGATACTTAATTTCTGTGGTTATTCCTCCAAGCAGGAAAAGGGTGAAAAGGAAGCCCATTTTCCAAAATGGCTGCTGCATGACAATGAGGACAACACAATCCCAAGCCCTATACCAAGTGATGGCAACATCAGGGAAAAGGAACCAGGGCCTCAAAAAAGAGCTTGAAAAAGCCTGGAGAGTTAAAACATCTGTAGTGCCCGTGGTCATCTCAGAGTGGTTCTTATATATATATGTGTGTATGTATGTTTATGCATCTAGCAGATGCTTTTGTCAAAAGTGACTTCCAAGTGATAATGAAGCCAGCAGGTTGCTACTAATCAGTCAGTCCTAGGTGGCAATGAGGCAGCATAATGAATCATATACCGTAAATCCTCTAATACAGGCCCGGGCCTGTATTTGACTCAAGCTCATCAAGCTCCAGGCCTTTATTGGAAGGAGGGCCAGTATTAGAGGCAGGCCTCTATTTCTATTTGAGCAAAATGAACTAATGGTTCGCTGGAGTTTTTGACAATTAAAATTGCGCCCACATTTTCAAAGTTAAACACATTTCTTTTAACAACGGTAGTTTCTGCTTCAGCCCTCTCCCCCCTCCCCCTGCGCAGCGGCTGCAAACTCACTGATGCGCCTGCAGCCTCTCGGAGTTCCTGCTGCTCTAAACATTAAAATAATTATTTCATTTTCTGTTCCTCACTTCTGATTACCTTCAATGGTGTCTGTTTGTTGCAACCACCAGGTACAAAAACTAACTTGTTTTTATTTGACTATTTTTCTGTCCTGTCTGTTTATTATCTTCCTGCATCTCCTCTCAATCCTAAAGAGAAACTGCTACCTGGGTTCATATATATTCATCTCATGAGTTACCTTTGAACTGCAGTTCTAAAAGATCTACCGACCGCAAAAACAGCAGAGCGCTTGCTGTTTGGCGGCCGTATGAGTGATCAGTGCGTCGGAGGACAAGGTGATGCCCGCAGCGCCCCGCTCCACAGCATGCAGCGAAACACATCAGGCGCAAATAAAAGACAGAAAGCATTAAAGGAAATGAACTGACATGAACGATCGCGTGTTAAATTAGTTTTTGAGGTGGCGACACCTGATTGTTACTGTGGCCGTGCTCAGGAGGCAGATCTACCGACCGCGAAAACAGCTGAGCGCTCCCTGCTTGCCGGTCGCATCAGTGATCTGTGCGTCGGAGGACAAGTTGATGCGCCCCGCTCCACAGCAGCGATACACATCAGGCGCAAATAAAAGACAGAAAACATTAAAGGAAATGAACCAACATGAACGATCGCGTGTCAGTACCTACGGTCTGGCACAGAGCGTTGCTGATCACAGAGAATGTGATCATACGATAATTCAATAGGGAGCGTGGTTTCACAGACGCGGAAGTGATAGCGTCGGTGAAACGCCGGCTGCTCTAGGAAACCCCCGAGCGTTCGAGCGTCAACGAAGTGACACGGAAATGCCGGGCTTTCCAGAAGTAAGTAAGATAACTTACTATGAGCTGATAGTTCGTTGGATTGATCGGTAGGTTGGAAACTCTGATCGTGAATCTGAAGAAACGATGACTGAGTGGTGAGCTGGAAAGGCGACTTCCGTTTATAGCTGCGGTTTGTGACGTAGGTGCGACGTGGAGGGAATCCCCGCGAGGGGCATGCTGGGAGTCCCTACTTCGCGGATTTTCACCTATCGCGGCCAGGTCTGGAACGCATCTACCGCGATAAACGAGGGATTACTGTAGTTCATACACCCCCTACTGCTGCTCTCCAGAGTGTTCTGCAGCATAATCAGCACGTTCTCTTTGAACTTGATAGTGTAATGACCTGGCTGGGGTTGTAAGCCAGGTGCATTCTGGGTATTGTGTTATATGTGTTTCCTATCGTTCTGCTAGTTACTATGTGCTGATTTGCGTGTTGTGTGAGTGTTATGTAAGCCACAGGGAAGGTGATGTGTGTTCTGTGGAGCGGGTTGAATTAGCATGGTTAACTGACACCGTGACTCTGTGTGGTAGGAGCGTGATAGAGGATGGGTGTCTGTAGCGTTACAAAGCGTTGAAGAAAAAGCCCATTAAGGGTCTGCGTGAACTATTACTGCCTCCTGCTGGTTGATTTGGTGACTATAACCCTGCTGCTGGAACGCTCGTACTTGCTTGTTACCACATTCCATCCGGCCACAATAAGAGACCGGCCTTTATTTACCTCCGCTGACTCCGATACCGGCCAAAGTTGGAGACCCGGCCTTTAACTGAATACCGGCCTGTATTAGAGGATTTACGGTATATATATATATATATATATATATATGTGTGTATGTGTATATTTACATATACATACATGCATATATACATACATATATGTATGTATATATGCATGTATGTATGTGTATATATACATATACATATATAAATATATATATATATATACATACATATTTATATATATAAATATATACATATATATATATATATTTATTTATTTATATATGTATGTATATATATGTATATATTAGATATAGTGACTAGTGTAAATATCTTTGATCTAGATGCCAATTAAAAAATAAAAGACTTAAATGTACAGGCAGGAGCTCCACCAGAGATACTGCTCCTGGACTCCCAGCAGGGGCTTTGAGTGGACCCAGCATCTATGGTCAGTTTCACATTTTAATACAGCATGTTAATAAATGTGAAGTAAACAAACCTACGTCTCTCTCTCTCTCTCTCTCTCTCTCTCTCTCTCTCTCTCTCTTACGAACGCACATGCACACACACACACACACACACACACACACACACACACACACACACACACACACACACGCACACACACACACACACACACTGAAGTGGTTTTAAAGGAATACACACAGACCACCTGACAGCTTGACTTTGTGTTTTGAGACCCAAAAGCCCAAACTGTAATCTGTAACAACAATCTAATTAACTAAGGTTCTCCCAGCAGTCCAAAGTGTTTCAGAGGAACACAGAGAAGTTAAGTGTAGCCTTAAGCAAAGAAAAGTGATTTCCTGAAAATCTGATAGTGCTGTAGAGCCACTAGAGGAAAGATGCTAGATCTTAAGAAACACAAAGCTACATGAACAAAACTGGAACTGGTATGTTTTCATTTGGCTTGGGATGCCAGTGTAATGTTAAAAACGGTGTGCCTACACAGTATGTAGTTTGTTAAAATCCATCCATCCACTTCCTTTACCTGCTTGATTCTGATCTGAGTTACGGGAAGCTGGTTCCTACCTCTAGAGGTCACTGGGGTAAAGGTCACCAGTCCATCACAGAACAACACAGAGGCAAACCACCACACACTCACACCTAACAAAAAAATCCAATATGCATGTTTTTGGACTTTGGGAGGAAACTTGAGTAACTGGGGAGAGCCCACACATGCAAGGAGAGAAAGTGTAAACTCCACATAGGAAGGTTTAGGAATAAAACCGGCAATACTCTTGCTGACCCAACAAGAGAAACCAGCTACATCACAGTGTAGCCTCATGAACGCACGGAAAGTGAAAATAATTGGAATGCATTTAGTATCAATTATGTCCTCAGTCTTCCATCATTTTGATAGTATGCATTCAAATCCCACTGCTGCCACCAAAGGCGTTTTTGCAGAAATAAAATGATGTAAACTCAGGAAAACCCCACATGTTGATTCTTATTATTAATACAGTAAATAGAAATGTCTAGTAAAACTAATCAGGATCTGAGAAATATTCTGCCTCTCAGAATTGTCTCACCCCTGCTTTCTACCGGGTGCGTATATGACACGTGATGTAATAAACGTGTTTTCTCCACCACCTCAGCAATTCAATTCAGTTTGTTTATATAGCGCCTAATCACGACCAGAGTCGTCTCAAGGCACTTCACACAGTCAACATTCCAATACAGGTCAGTTCATTAAGCCAATCAGTAAAAAGTTTCCTATATAAGGAACCCAGCAAATTGCATCGAGTCACTGTCTAGTGTCAGAGTCTTTACAGCAATCCTCATACTAAGCAAGCATGCAGCGACAGTGAAGAGGAAAACTCTTTTTAAAGTTTGAAATGTTTTACACTGCTCTCATGTTTGACTTTGTGTCTGGCTCTATCTTCTGGAAGTGTGTGGTATAAAAAGTAGACCCGAAGTGTACATTTAGCAGAGCTGCTGGGATGCGTACAGGACACGTGCTGCTTCATGGTTAGTGGAAATTTACCTATTAATTATTATGCATAGACGTAACCCAATGCTCATGCATCCAGTGGGAAGCTTGGGTCATGCAGGAACTGCTCAAAAGTTCATTAAAAAAATTATGAAAAATCTTCTCATCTTAATTTTTGCCCTCACAGTAAAAATAATTTTCACATACATCATTTTAATGTGTGTTCACCAACAGGCCAGCATACCTCTCTGTCCTTGAGCTTCATGGCCAACACCAACTGGTTTCTGTGATGGGCAAGCGCCTCTCTGTAATTACTTTTAGAAAAGAAGGCAGAGCCAAGGTTCCCATGAGCACGGCATTCACCTGGCTGGTCACCTGCAAGCCAAACATCCAGTGTGTTAGTCACTAGAGCCGACGTCCCTTACATAGAGGCACCTTATCATTTTTCATACCTAAAGTCTTCGTCACCTCCAGGTCCTGCAGCATGTAAGCCACGCTCTTCTCCGCGTTGCCTAGAGACCAGTATGCAGAGCTGAGGGCAGAGAAGACGGATCCACGCAGCTTCAGTGAGCAGGTCCCGATCTTAAGCCCTGCTTCCAGCACTACAACCGAGGCTCCATAGTAACTGTGTGTCAGCAACTCTTGGCCGATAATGGACACGACAACAAAGGGGCTCTTGTCCAGCTTCATCTTCTGCAGCTGTCGGTAGGTTGCTTCTAGAGTGTCTGTGTGTTCAAGAGTGTTTGAAAGAAAAGGAGAAACTTTAAAGAAAACTAGATCATGCCTAACTTTTATTCTCTTTGACTTTAGCTTCTGCCCGTCGTCGTCATCTTCCTCCGCTTATCCGGGTCGCGGGGGCAGTATCCCAACTAGGGAGCTCCAGACCGTCCTCTCCCCAGCCACCTCCACCAGTTCCTCCGGCAGGACCCCAAGGCGTTCCCGGACCAGATTGGAGATGCAACCTCTCCAACATGTCCTGGGTGGACCCGGGGGCCTCCTGCCGGCAGGACATGCCCAAACCACCTCAACTGACTCCTTTTGATCCGGAGGAGCAGCGGTTCTACTCCGAGTCCCTCCGGAATGTCTGAGCTCCTCACCCTATCTCTCACCCCAGAATTCCACCATCTCCGCTCCGCTCCGCCCCCGCTTTCCCCTCGCTTCTGAACTCAAATTATACTGTACCCGCTCTACAACGGCTCCACTCCAGTGTGGAGACCTGAGGTGCGCAAACAGGCATGCGCAGGATTTTCGAGATCTTGCGATACAGTCCGAGCAATAAACGCGGAAGTTAGATCCAAACACCCAATGTGTGGGAGAAGCATCGAAATGACCTGTTTAATCTGCTTATCATTTGTGTTGAGAGATCAGCAGTGTTTGGATCAACAAAGTGTGACTACTTTGATAGTAGAAACTGTATTTATGGCTTATTTTTGTGCATTTAAAGTTCAACCGCCATTGATAGTTGTTAAAAGTTGTTAAACCTGTGCATATGAAACAAAAAACGCTTTTGTTTATCGATTTATTGTAAAATAACTGAAGTTCTGCTTGCTCCCTTTCCTGTTGGGCGGTTGTGATTCCTGTCCATTGACTGCAGAGGTGCTCCGGCGTCCGGCAAAAATAGAATCAATCCTATTTTTGCCAGATGGCGGAATGGCGGGCGGTGCACTGCGCCGCACGGCCGCAGTAGTGGAACAGCTCTGATTGACTTCAACGGGACCGTTTTTGCTGCGGAGTTCGTGCCGGAGTGGAGCGGATTGGAGATAGTGGAATTTTGGGGTAAGGCTGAGCCCGGCCACCCTTCGGAGGAAACTCATTTCGGCTGCTTGTATTTGCGATCGCCTTCTTTCGGTCATTACCCAAATCTCATGACCATAGGTGAGGATTGGGAGGTAGATTGACCATTAAATTGAGAGCCTGGCTTTCTGGCTCAGCTCCCTCTTCACCATGACAGATCGGCTCAGCGTCCGCATCACTGCAGATGCCGAACTAATCCACCTGTCGATCTCCCAATCCCTCCTACCCTCACTCGTGAACAAGACCCCAAGATACTTAAACTCCTCCACTTGAGGTAGGACCTCTCTCCCGACCCGGAGTTGGCAAGCCACCCTTTCCCGGTCGAGAACCATGGTCTCAGATTTGGAGGTGCTGATTCTCATCCCAGCCACTTCACACTTGGCCGCGAACCTACCCAGCAAGAGCTGAAGGTCAGAGCTGGATGAAGCTAGGAGGATCACATCATCCGCAAAAAGCAGAGACGAGATTCTCCTGCCACCAAACTCAACACACTCCAGACCACGGCTGCGTCTAGAAATTCTGTCCATAAATGTAATGAACAGAACCGGTGACAAAGAGCAGCCCTGGCGGAGTCCAACTCTCACCGTGCACATGTCCGACTTACTACCGGCTATGCGGACCAAACTCACGTTCCTCTGGTAAAGGGACTGAATGGCCCTAAACAAAAGGCCACCCACACCATACTCCTGGAGTGTCCCCCACAGGGTGCCCCTGGGGACACGGTCATAAGCCTTCTCCAAATCCACAAAATAAATGTGGATTGGTTGGGCAAACTCCCATGCCCCCTCCATCACCCTTGCAAGGGTATAGAGCTGGTCCACAGTTCCACAGCCAGGACTAAAACCACATTGCTCCTCCTCAATCTGAGATTCAACTATCGATCGGACCCTCCTCTCCAGTACCTTGGAGTAGACCTTTCCATGGAGGCTGAGGAGTGTGATCCCCCTATAGTTGGAACACACCCTCCGGTCACCCTTCTTAAAGATGGGGACCACCCCGGTCTGCCACTCCACAGGAACTGCCCCCGATGACCACGCAATGTTGCAGAGACGTGTCAACCATGACAGTCCTACCACATCCATAGCCTTGAGATACCCAGGACGAATCTCATCCACTCACGGGGCTCCACCGCTGTGTAGTTGTTTGACTACTTCAGCAACTTCTTCCCCAGAGATTGGAGAGTCCATCCCCAGGTCTCCTGGTTCTGACTCCTCCTCAGAATGCGCGTAGATGGGATTGAGGAGCTCATCAAAGTATTCCTTCCACCGCCTGACTATAGCCCCAGTTGACGTCAGCAGCTCCCCTTCCCCACTGTAAACAGTGTGAGCGAGTTGCTGCCTTCCTCTCCTGAGGCGCCGGACAGTTTGCCAGAACCTCTTTTGCGCCGATCAATAGTCTTTCTCCATGGCCTCACCAAACTCTTCCCATGCCCAAGATTTTGCCTCGGCAACTGCCACTGCTGCACCCCGCTTGGCTATCCGGTACCCGTCTGCTGCCTCCAGAGACCCACAGACCAGCCACACCCTGTAGGCCTCCTTCTTCAGCCTGACAGCTCCCCGAACCTCTGGTGTCCACCAGCGGATACGGGGGTTGTCACCACGACTGGCACCGGCCACCTTGCGACCACAACTAGCAACAGCTGCCTCAACAATCGCAGAGTGGAACAAGACCCACTCAGAGTCGATGTCCCCCACTGCTCTTGGGAACCGGTCAAAGCTCTGTCTGAGGTGGGAGTTGAAGACCATCCTGACAGGTTCTTCTGCCAAGCATTCCCAGCAGACCCTCACTATGCGTTTGGGTCTGCCAGGTCCACGCGGCATCTTCCCCTGCCATCTGATCCAACTCACCACCAGGTGGTGGTCAGTTTGACAGCTCCGCTCCTCTCTTCACTCGGGTGTCCAAAACGTACGGCCGCAGGTCAGATGATACGACTACAAAGTCTATCACCGACCTGCGACCTAGGCTGCCCTTGTACCAAGTGTACCGATGGGCATCCTTATGGTCGAATATGGTGTTTGTTATGGCCAAACTACGGCTTGCACAGAAGTCCAATAACAAAACACCACTCGAGTTCAGATCAGGTGGGCCGTTCCTCCCAATCACACCCCTACAGGTCATGCTGTCATTGCCGACATGAGCTTTGAAGTCCCCCAGCAGGACAATGGAGTCCCCTGATGGAGCACTATCTAGCACTCGTCCCAGGGACTCCAAAAAGGGTGGATAACCTGAACTGATATTTGGCGCATAAGTACAAACAACAGTCTGGACCCGTTCCCCGACCCGAAGGTGCAGGGAAGCTACCCTCTTGTCCCCTGGGGGTAAACCCCAACACAGAGGCAGAGTGTCTTGGGGCTAACAACAAGGCAACCCCAGCCCTCTGCCTCTCACCCGGAGCAACTCCAGCAAAGGAGAGTGTCCAGCCCCTCTCAAGGACTTGGGTTCCAGAGTCAATGCTATGTGTCGAGGTGAGTCCGACTATATCTAGTCGGTTCCACTCAGCCTCTGCCACAAGCTCCTTCTCCTTCCCCGTCAGCGAGGTGGCGTTCCATGGCCCAATAACCAGTTTCCTTGTCCGGGGATCGGACCGCCAAGGCTCCCGCCTCGGTCTGCCACCCGATCCACACTGCACTGGACCCCTCATGTTCCTCCTGCGGGTGGTGGGTCCTCAGTTGGATGAGCCCATGTATCCGGTTTGGGCTGGGCCCGGCCGGGCCCCATGGGCGAAAGCACGGCCATCAGGCGCTTGCTCACGGGCCCCAACCCCAGGCTTGGCTCCAGGGCCGGGTACTCTGACTCTTTGATTTTACGTCCATGAAAGATCTTCTTAACCGTTCTTTGTCTCACCCTTCACCTTCTGCCCACTGCGCATAAACCTAGTTTGGACGTTCTACAGATGTGGTCTGGACCAACGGACTCAATATAGACATGATCTGCACATCCATGTGACGTTGACTGTTTGCAGGATGTAATGTACAGACGTGAAAGAATAACCTTCCAATAAGGAAAGGAAAACCCACAATGGTGACCAAAATGACTTAAGACAGACACTAACATTTTTAAAAGAGGAAAATCAAATAGAAAAGAACAGACTGCTTTTGAAATGTGCCTCTTTAGAACTGTCCAATGTTTGGTTCTGTCATTTATTATTTTTATTATTACCATGTTGAACAATAAAACAAAATGTCCGACTTTTGTTATTTAAAAATCAGTAAACCGACAATAGTAATGGACAGCAAACCGTGTAAACTGTATCAGACACTTTTGTCAGAAACCACTGTGGATTTTTTCATCTTTAGCGTTACGGTATCATCACTTTTATCCATGTTTCTATATATATTAAAAAAAATCATAATAGTAAATGATAATAAATTTGACCTTTTTCTCCATTGTGGCCTAAATGAATTAAAATATGCACACAGAACATACTCCAAAACCCTACTTGCCATCCAAAACAAGGAGTTTCTGCACATTTAGGTTTACTCTGAGGGTATAAATGCTGCTTATTATAATAATGTATACAATCGCCAGGATTTTGACGTTGCAACAATGAGATATTCCCTGTTCAGGTGAGTGGGGCCAAATAATTATCACTTTAATTTAGCTATGATTTTTTTAGGAGATAGTTTGGTGTAAAATGCTGTTTGACCTGGCAGAGGGGAACTCTATCACACAAAACACCTCCATCACCATCCCCCCAGGGTAAACCTACTAGTATGAGGTGAAGCATGTGCCAGCAGTAAGCCATTTCAGGTTGCTCAGAATGAAACTTAATGTTAGGGAGCCTTAACATCTCTGGAGTTGAACCCTGTGTGGAAGATCGAGTCCAGGCTAAGGATTTTCACAAGTTCAAATAAATGAGCATTTGTTTCAATCTTATTGATTCAATAAAAAGAAATAACTGATCATTTACAGACCATAATATGTTCAACTTGTAACACTGAGACATGTAAAAGCAGGTTCTTATAGTAGATTCGAGTCAGGAGAACCAACTCTGTCAGCAGAGCCATTAGGCGCCCCAAAATAGAGCTGCTACAGTAGGAGCTCATTTAATAAGTATCCAAACAAAACAAAACATTTTTGTTCAATCAGATATGCACTGATGAGGTTTTTGTGCTCTCGTCATGAAGCTGAAAATACATCTCTAAAATAAATGCACTAATGAAATGAGAAAAAACATGTATTAATTAATTTTAATGTTTTGAGCTGGCAAATAGTTCCTTGAATAACCTCAGTTTGGAGGAAAGATATCATTTCTGACCAGATTGAATAGCTAACATTTAGTAAGGTCAAGATCAAAATGGATTTCTGCCCTCTTAAAACTACAATCTCAAAAACTTTAATCAGTTAATGCAAATGCTATTCTTTAAATCCTAACGCTGCCTTAAAATTTACATGACTTTCACACTGCAGTTTTCAATGAAAGTACATTTTCTAGGTTAATGCAAAAAATATTACTTTTATGCAATTTTAATGTATTTTTATGTAGAATATATATATTAAGGGCACACTTTTCAGTTTTGCTTGCTTTTAGCACTCCCTGTTTGTTTTTAATTCACTGTGGTTAAACCGAAAATGAAACCTATCTCCTTGCTGTGCGTTTGTCTTTTAACACCTTAATCCAACAGCTGAAATGTCTTCCCAGCCTTCATTAGTTTCTACAGCAGTAATTCATTACTACATCAAACAATCAGCTGTATTCATGATCTAAAACATGCAGGGCTGGAAGCAGACTGCAGCTCCACTCCACTTCACAGCTTCCTCCACCAGACCGGCAACTCTGAGTGACATTTCATTAACCCTGTAAGGGTGATTTTAGAACATACTGGCTTAAGACACAGATGTAAAAAAAGAAAGAGTTGCATAGAATCCCTTTAATTAGGTCCCAACCATCACAAGTCACCTACCACTTGTACTGATCATTGATAGTTTATCGTAATTATGTTGTTTTCTAGCTTTAGTATTTAATGTTTTACTGTACTTCTGTTGTCATTGTATGCATGTTTTTGTCTGTGGAGCCTTTTGTGACTTGTGTCTATGAAATGTGCTATATAAATAAACATCTTTTTCTTTAATTGATTTTAAATGTATTTAGTATATACTAATTAAATGGCAAATTATGCAGTTTGAAATCAGATTTTGTCAGATTCAAAGACAAGATTATTATAATTAATTATATTTAATTTTTGTTTTGAGTGTGTCTACTTCCTAACACTAGTATTAGTAGCACATTGTTTAAACATGTTTTTATCTTTCTTTTTTCAGTGACTCTAGAAAAGTTGAATAAAAAAATTACTGTAAAATAGTTTAAAATGCTTTAATTTAAGCACAATTTTTATTCTGTAAAATCAATAATTAGATCCTTCAAAACTCAACCTCTTTCACTTCTGGAGTCCCACACGACTTTGTCCTGAGACCTTTTTGGTTTCCAATGTATCTTTATACACTTTATGCACTCGTATAGCACATTTCTGAGTCAGAGGACTCCAAAGCGCTTTACACTACAGTGTATCATTCATTCCATTCACACACACATTCACACACTGGTGGTGACAACCTACATTATAGCTACAGCTGCCCTGGGGCGCACTGACAGAGGCGAGGCTTTTCAAGCACATGTACTACCAGGCTCTCTGACCACCACCAGCAGGCAAAGCGACCAAGTGTCTTGCCCAAGGACACAACAGCAGCATTCTCTGCCAGGAGCTGAGATTGAATGTGCAACCTTCTGATTGCTGCACAACCCCTGAGTTACTGCTGCCCAAAGCATCAACAATGCCAATTAGGCAAGTGTTTTTTTAGTTGCATTTCAAGTTCATCTGCATGAATCTGTTGCTAAGGGTCTAATCAATTCAACAGAAGTAATTTCGACAAAATACTTCTGCATTCATGCAGGCTTTTCCTGATTAGAAACAGAATATTCAAACTAAATCTTTTGCTCATTATATGATGATGTGGAGCTTTTAGTTCTGTAAGAAATGCCTCCTCAGCTCAAATAAAAAGCCATCAGTAAATCTGGCTAGGACAGATAACGTGAAAAAGACTCTCCTCTTCCATCTTGCGGACCCCTCAACTCCATCCTGTCCTTGCTGTGAAGTCTGTTGACCTTCTCTCTGGTCCCACTTGTTGCCCCACTGACTGCTCACTCTAGCGTTACAACTCCCAGTAACACTCAAAGGCTCTTGCTTTGAAGATTAGAGGGGATCAAGTTTTAGGACAGCTGCTTCTGGGTGGCAAAGTGACCTCGCATCATGCATCACATCTGGAGCGGTTGACAGAGACTATCTGTCATAGCTGCTGCTGCTGGTGGTTTCTACAACCCCCAACAACCTTCTACTAAGAAGTGCTGTCTTAATAATGCGCTGCAGCTTCTTTTGTCCAAAGCTGATGATTTAACTTAAAACATGTTTAAATTAAGGCTTATTAACTAACGTGTGTTAGTTTTTTCAAACTGAGCTGACCACACCACGTCTTTTAGACTATTAACCCTCTGGAGGAAGGCATTGCACATTTGCGACGTTAAAACCTACCTACCTGCTTACTCCACATACGTGTTTCATGAGCATTTTTTAACTCAGAAGTACCCCTGAAGGACTTAGTTGTTCGTCCTTTTATCAAAACTTATTTTGAGCCTGAGAGGGTTAAACATAAATTATTGTGAATTTTTAATAAGATCTGCTCTCTGGAGAAAGAACAGACGCCGAATTTCCTGCATGTAAACATTTGCTTTAGCTGTTCAAGCTCAGGGCGATTCCCATGAAGCCGGTCTGGCTCTGTAGTGTGGAGGGCCAACTACATAATCCTGGGCTGTTGAAGCCTGTAAGACATTTTTGATCATCTGCTCTCTCCTCTCATCACCATTCACCACCAATACCTGACTCAAAAACACTTCTAGATCTGATGAGGGATAAATCAATAATGCACCCAAATCTACTTTTAAATCATTCATGAATACACAAGAAGGTTGTTTCTTCTAACAAACATCAGGGTAGAGCTAGCCAATACGTAGGCCCAGACCAACGTCTTCAGTCTAGAAAAAGACATCATTAAAGGTTTGTTAGTGAACATGAGAGCGCTGTGTGTGCAATCAGCAGATTTTTAATCCATAAACATAATTCTAATAAATCCACATCCATAAACAACTAACTAGCTGCTAGTTTCGTTCTGCACTGGTTCACAGCTGACAAATGCATTCATGGACAGACTATATATTTACATAAATGGGATGGCTTCCCAGGCTAGCAGGATGATACAGATAACAACACTAGAGGTCGACCTTTATTGGTTTTTCTCTTGCCGCTACAGTAATGACAGGTAAAGGTATGGGTAAAGGTCATGGTCAGCCGATGGCTGATTGGTGCTGCCGATATCTCATGGCCGATATCCAGATTTTTTCCACATTATTTTCATGCACAAAACTTTTACATTTTCTTTTGTGCACTGCTCAGTGTTAAAACCAGACATCTAAAGTTGATCAAACAAATCCGTAAACTGACCAAGTATTAAACATTCAAGTTGGAAATCGTCTTAAGAGAATTTATTGAAGCAGATTTTATTCAGGAACATAAAAATACACATAAATTAAATTCTGCAGCAGCACTGGATTGCCCAGGAATGCAATCGGCTAATATATTTAAGAAATATCAGCTGGTCTACTCCTAGACATCACTGCATTATGATTGGACAGTATTATTTTCTTGGGCCAATATGAGATTTACTGAAACCAAAATGGCAGCTACATACTGATCTTACTGTAATCACTTCCCTCAGTGTGTGTGTCCTCTTTAGGGCTCTCTTCCTTGTTTTCCGAGTCTCTTTGTTCCTTGTTGATTTTGCCCTCGAGTCATGTTTTCCTTCACTCAAGTTTGTTTCAGTTTAGTTTCTTCTGAGGCGGTTTAGTCTCATCTACTTAACAAAATGATCACATAGTCCCTGCTTCCAGCCTGCTGCTTCCTCTGTGTCCTGCATTTGGGTCTCATTTCCACCACCCACCCTCCAGTCCACACAACAAACACAACTGGTTGTTTGCATTGTGGCTTTCAGATTTCGACCAGCGGCTGTTTTGCTCATGAACGACACTATCATATCTGTTCAAATCACAATCTAATTACATTAAAATGATCCAATCAGAAAACATCAGGTCTTAATGGGTACAATCATTCTCTGTGAACATTTCATTATGTAAGCTGTACTCACACTTTAACCTGCCTCTGGGGATAACCCTGCATAAAACATGTCCTCTCTCTCTGCTTTGATGTGCTTCTGTGTGTTCCTCTGCTGTTCCATTAAACTCAGCGGTTCATGTCTTCTCTACATCCTTCTCATCTTTTTATTTTTTCCCATCTTGCCGTTTCTCACATCAGATGTCCCTTAGTTTCTTTGTGCGATCTGAATAATCTGGAGCTTCCTTTAAGGTTTTGACAAGAGGAGCTGCTGAATAAAACAACACAAAAAGGCAACTAAAAGTTTTCCTCTCTCCCTCGCTTACGACTTTAAAGCACAAAAATGCTGTTAGTGGTTATTGTTGATTTGTTAGATTTCTTCGGTTGCCATTTGAGGTGTTTGTGGACCAACAGAAGAAAAGAGCAGGTTGAAGTCAGCTGCCTGAGCTTACCTCTGAGCGGGGATTTCATTGCAGCCTCTACCATGCCGACAAGCAGCTGGAGGCTCTTGGGGTCTTGAGAGAGGCCGGAGGCAAAAGCTGCCAGGGCATCGGCATGACGACCCAGATACTGAAGGGCAACCCCCTGACGAAAGTAAGCCTGAAAAGAGGGGGGATATCATCATACTCAATATTTTGACATTAGAAAATACATCAGAGGTCTAAAGGCTTGTAGATCTGGTTTAAAGTGGGGAATAATTTTCACAAGAACAAAAGGAATTTGAAGCCTAAGAAAATGTCCTCAGGTATTACAGTTGTATAAAATATTATTAGACAGACACTTTGATTTAAATAAGTACAGATATTTGAAATTAGCCCAGAGTAAGCAACATAACATGTTCTAATACATTGTGCAATCTTGTGTTCATGCTTTCAACATCTCTCGTGCTGATAATGACAATAAGGGGTTAAACGGGGCCGGGGCTGTCTGGGTCTAAGCCACAGCACATAAGCTGGCGCTGCATCATGGGACCAAGATTAAGCAATTAAGGATGACTAGAATAATCTTAATTAAAAAAAAATCATAATCAACATTATTTTGGTCAACATCAAAACCCACTGAGTTGGAAACACTGCATTTATTTTCCTAAAAAGACAGACAAGACTTTGACATGAACATCTTTCTGTTGAACTTTCCCTTAAAACCACTGGCAAGGTCAATGAATCCTTTACTTGAAACCTGCTGTCTTGAACATTGAAGATGCCAACATGAATGAATTAGTGAAGCAGATGCTTTCATTAGTCATATTGTTGTCAACTGGTGATCAGAATTGACAACATTGAGCATGAACAGCTTTTCTTTCATTGGCAAATATGAAACTCAAAGGTTTTTTGCTTATCCATGAATGCACAATTCCCAGGCAGCGATAAAAAAAGTGTAAGTCCAACCCAATGACAAGCCATTTCCCGTCGTTCACTTTATAGAGCCGGTTCGTTAGCGACCGACACATCACTACAAAACACACTTCATTTGTGCCATAATTCTGGACTTGGTAGAACATTGCAGCAGAACAACAGCATTGTGCGCGCTCTCTCTCTCACACACACACACACACACACACACACACACACACACACACACACACACACACACACACACACACACACACACACACACAGACACACATTAGTAACCCCTAGATTCTCAGTCTGGAAAAATAAAATCAAGACATTAAATGCATAGGATCAGAGAAACACAAACACACTCTGCTCCCACTGCTGACCTCAGTGTAACTTTAGTGTCTCCTCTCCTCCTTTAATTGCCTCTCTACCTCCCTCCCTGTCATTTATCACCATGCCCCCCTCCTCCCATCTAACATTAAAGCTGTCATGACAGCCAGTGAACGAAGACAAAGGGAGGAATTTGATTACATGTTTACCCCCCTTTCCCTGCCTGTAACTTTGTACACATGCTTTGTCCCCAGTCCTCATCTTCAGGCAGGCTCATTGAAATAAATGGAGCCAGGGGTCAAGACTAATCTGACGCAGGACGCCTTGGAGTCCTCAGTGTGTTTAGCCTCTTTCATAAGACAGACCATCGCGTCATTACAGAGTGATAAATCCGAAGTGTGGGTCTCGTAAATGCGGCAAGGAGCAAAGGGGAAAGGTGATCAAATTTGATTCTGATGCGCTTAGCCTCGTAGTAATATTGCCGCATGAGCCCCTCGCCTCTGACGGTTAAACGTATGTCAGCCCCGCTAATCCATTTGGCGCGACTGTGGGAACCCACCCCCTCCCACCCCCCACGCAAAAGAGGGTGGTCGCGTTAGTGACGTATACTGCACGCCGAGTGCCAGCCGGAAGGGATATAAACACTGATAAAAATGGCCTCTCACTAGTATCTTTTCACCATGGAGCTTTTGGCCGTACGAGCGGACGAACAGATTAGTCGCCTTTTTACGGGGACGGTGAGAGACAGCCAGCTGTTCGACAGAGTGGTGAAAACACTGGCTGAGTGGGGCGTGAAGCGGGACAAAAAGCAGGTCACATCAAAGCTAGAGGTCCTGAAAAAGAAATTTCATCAGTGTGACGTGTCTTCCGTCTGACGCTAGATGCGCGACCCTGTATGTCACATGCAGGGGGGGGGGGGCTAGTGACCTCCCTTTATCCCATCTTGGTTTGAGAGGTGCCTGATGGCAGTTTATTCTAGCTTCAGCTTTGCTACTATAAATGCCAAAATCCTCCCCAGGGAGCCCCGATCAATTCCCTACGGTCCTATAAAAACAGCTTGTGTGTCTGTGCAGAATGTGAACAAGTCACTGTGCCATTTTACTGCTGATTGACATAAAGTGGGATAAATAAGTGGGACTGGCAGCTGAGACCCGAAAGCTCTAGTCTCAGAAGACATGACATTTATTGACACCATCATTGTTTTTACTACCAAAGCCAGAAGTTACAGTTTTAACAAGGAGAAACACTGCACAATGCAATCTGATGACTTTATTTTTGTGATGTTTTATGAAATGTTGAACCTGAACAAACCTTAAACCTCCTCAGAAGTTCCAGTTTTGTTATTTTTTTATTATGTTCTTTTGGGGAATAAAGTATTTTTAGGAATGCATTGTCTAATTCCATTTCAGTTTAAAGTATTGCAAAGACACGTGCGCCATGAAGAAAAAAGACTTACTGCTCAGGGTCACAGCAAACAATACACCAAAGCTTCAGACAAAAGTGCAATGCTGTCATCACACAAACTAACAACGTTGGAACTTACAGCAGGATCCTGATCAGCTGTTTCCATTTGTTTTATAGAACAGCCACTTTATTGTATTTCACTAAAGTCAAGGATGTTTTCTTTACAAACAACAACTCTTTGTGGAGAAATACCGCAGTGGATCACCGCGATTAATTATTGAGACAAGTCAAACAATCAGAACCGTTCAGTGCTGAAAAATCCTTCCCACTCTGATAGGTTAATACTTCCTCCTAATGAGGGCTGTTTGGGGCATTGCCTATAGTCACCAGTCATTTAACATTTATACACGAAAAGCCTCTGTAAAAAATACGAGAACTGCTAAAAGTTGAAGGGATATCCATCACCCACCACTTTTCATGTCGGCATTTTAAACTAAGATCATCTATAGCTGAGATATGATGGAATTAAAATGTTTTCAGGCTATTCTGGGTATTCTCTGGGTCTCATCCCAGTGTGATGTAGCTGGAAAACTTCCAGGACCAGGATACAAATCTGGAGCCTGAAACACCGGAGTTGACTCTTTTCACAGCAGAGGAGCCCTGAAAGCACCACATGTTGGTTCCACGTTTCTGCAGGACTAGCAACTAACATAACCCAACAAATGCTGTAGAGGCTGGCCGATATATCGGGCCGATATATTCAACTTTTTCTATATTGGCTATCATCTGAAATAATTTTTAAATGCCGATAAAAAACTAAAACATAAATCAGGCTCTGTGTGACCAACTGCCACCACTACTACACTGAAGAAAGGACCCCAACACACTATTCATTTTAATGTTTTGAGTTTGTTTTATATTTGAAGTTAAAAAAATATTAAGATGTTTATTTACTTATTTCATTTATATTGCCCACAGTGAGTGTATATATATATATATATATATATATATATATATATATATATATATATATATATATATATATATATATATATATATATATATATATATATATATCGTCCTTAATAATCAGCTTTAGATATTGGCCATTAGCAACAAAATTCTTTAAAAATCGGTATCAGCATCTGCCTTAGAAAAACCATATTGGTCGGCCTCTAGCTGCTACAATATAAATGCTGCTACTTTGTGTATATATTTGTACATAGTACTGTTGATTTTACATTCATATTATTTCTTTATTATTTTTGTATTCTTTTACATTTGGCACCAAAGAGAGTGGCACTCCAATTTCTCTGTACCCCGTACAACAACAATAAAGACTATTCTATTCTATTCTATTCTGTTCTGTTCTATTCTATTCTATTCTATTCTATTCTATTCTATTCTATTCTATTCTATTCTATTCTTTTAAAATTCTAGACCTGGTCAGCAAGGGATGTATAGATCCCAACTAAAGATAATGAAACTCCCTGACAGGTTTATGAAGCAGACTAAAGCAATATTTGTTCACAGCTGTTAAAAAATTTTATACAACAAAGAGCTCAAACACTTTATTTTTCAGTGAAGTCAAAATATCAGAATCAGAGATTTTGTTAAAAACAGCCTCAAAGGCAGAGTAGTGACTTTGTAGGATCTCACATCACTGATGCCATGCTGAGAAGAGGGAGACAGTAGCCTGACCTCTGACCCTCAGCCAGGATGGAGAGGAGACCAAGTGTTGGACTGGTATTATTCAAATTCAATTCAATTCAAGTTTATTTATTTAGCGCCAAATCACGACAAGAGTCGTCTCAAGGCACTTCACATAATAAACATTCCAATTCAGGTCAGTTCATTAAGCCAATCAGAAATAATGTTTCCTATCTAAGGAACCCAGCAAATTGCATCAAGTCACTGACTAGTGTCAGTGACTTTACAACAATCCTCATACTAAGCAAGCATAAAGCGACAGTGGAGAGGAAAACTCCCTTTTAACAGGAAGAAACCTCCAGAGAATCCTGGCTAAGTATAAGCAGCCATCCTCCACGACTCACTGGGGAGTATTATGACCTGGGCTGAAATCCACGATAACATAAGGACACTCCGACTTTCTGCCTAACTCTACTTAGCACTGACCCTCAAATCTATGTTCATCCCGCTGACTTAGCTGCGGTAAACAGGATGCAGGGATTCACATGCAGGCCCTTGTGTTTTTTCTTGAGCTTCTGAGAGGGCCATTTCTGTCAAGCATGGACGACTATATCAAGGAAGAGTGTTATAATCAGAGAATGATGGTAATTACCTCTGCTTGCGAGCTGATGAGCAAGGGTTGTGTAGGCGTGTGTGTTGGCGAGATCTTGGTTTTGTGCAGGTGTGTGTCAGAGCTTTTTATCCCCTCCAGGGGTGTAAACATGTCAGAGGCAGACAGGCAGTGACAGCAGGGAGTGCCTGACCTCCTCCACACATCCAGCCTATTAGCTCAGTCTGGCTGCATTACCTGTGAAGCTCACACGGGGGGGGGGGGGC